CACCTTGACCGCACCTGGGGAGCTTGTAAAACCCCTGCTGCCTGGGTCCCAGCCCCAAAGAATCTAACTAAAGTGCTCTGGGGGAAGGCGGGTCACAAGTACCCTTCACCAGCCTCCTCTCACCCAGCCAGGGCTAAAGAGTAGCCAGAGCTGAGAACCCACTGTTCTAGAAGCATCTTTGCGAAACAGTCTCTGAAACAGTAATCTCTCCCATTATTCCATCTTGTTAACTAGATTTTCTTTCAAATGCCGAGGTTTGCAACAGAGGGAGATCATCAGGTGGTCTGATCATCTATCATAGAACAGGAGTCAGCAAGCTTTTCCTGTAAAGGGGCAAATAGGAAATGTTTTAAGGCTTTGCAGGCCATCAATTCTGCCACAACTACTCAACGCTGTCACCGTAGCATGGAAGTGACCACAGAAACACATAAACAAATGAGTGGGGCCATGTTCCAATACTTTATTTATGGACACAAATGGGAGTTTCACGTAACTTTCACAGTCATGCAATATTATTCTTCTTTTGACTTATGTCAACCATTTGAAACTGTAAACACCATTCTTAACTCACAGACCATACAAGTACAGGCCGCGGGCCCGATGCGACCCATGGGCTGCAGTCTGCCAACCCCTGATCTAGAACTGTGACATTGACTTGAGACCCTAAAATTAACCCATGATAGAATCCAAACGATCATATCAAAACCACATTGGAAGTGGTCAGATGCTACTTCCTCCGCTCACTCAACTGAACTGTCCACACAGCTGCACATGGCAGTGGGACTGTGTGTATAGTTGAACATAAACCATAAATGACTCAATAGAAAATGATTTTGAATCCTCACCTGCTTAGGAATTTGTCTAAGACCAAAGTGGCAAAGAAATACTAAACAAGCATGTTTTGAGGGGCCTACATAATGGTTTCAATTATTGGTTAATTTGCTGTGAACATTTAAAGCTCAGAATATTTCACCCAAAAACCCAGATTATCATTCTCTTGAAAAAATAATTGCAAAATGTGGAGAGACTGGGCCCAAATGTTGGCACGGCAACCACGTACTAAGACTGGACAAGGCTCACGCTGTAAACCAGGCATGCTAGCCATGGGACCACAAACCCTATCTTCACATAGGTTAACTGGCTCTCCCGACAGACATTGGAGTTTATGACCTATGATCTAAAGTCTTTAGAAAAATCTCATTTCTCTTTCACAATGTGACTTCAATATCTTCTTTGAAGACCTGACATGGGAAAGTATTGAAATCTCTCAGTCTGCTCTCAAAATTCAACACCCCCATACTCCAGACCCTAAGAAATGAAATCATTAGTTATCATGTGTCAAGTTCGCAAGGTATCAACCTAAGAAGAGTTTCAATCAAATCCCCTTTCTCAATATGGTCTCAATTTGAACCACAGTCTCCAAGAAGATAGACAAATGACAAATGACCCTGCAGGTCCTCTTCTCCTTCAAGCTGGCCAAGATAGAGAGGCTCAGTGAGGTGGCGTGCAAGCACTCACATCACAACGTCTTAATTAAGCAGGGTGATCGATAACACATAATAATTAGAAAGTGAGATTTGAGACTAATGGGTAAAAACAACACAGGACTATTCTACATAGGGGAAGACGTCTACAGCCATATTTTGAAAGAGGAGGAAAAACCTGAGAGTATGCAGAAAAAGTCAGTAATTAAGAGTTTAGTCCAAGTTTACTATTAACCCACTGTGTAATTTCACCTTACACCCATGTTAAATACAATAGCTTATTTTGGGATGGCAGACTTCTCTGACAACTACATGCCTACTCATATACTGCATATTATCTTTTTACTGGTGAAAAGATAAACTGAACCCAGGAAAAGAAAAATTCCAGATATATGGATAATGAGTCACCAATTCATTTGAGTGACACAAGCCTTTTTGTAAAAAAAAAAATTTTTGAATGTATATGTGTGTGTGTGTGTGTGTGTGTGTGTTAGTTTAACTTGTTATCCACATCAGAAAAAGAACTGTTCAAACAGTAGATTTTCCACTTGAAAATAAAATGGAAATTAGCCCTTAGAAAACAGAGATGACTTTAAGTTTATACATCAGTGGCTGGTTCATGAATTATTAACTGATTTTAATGATCTTGGCTATATTTTATTTGAAGTTATTCTCCTACTTGCAAGGACTTTTGAACCCTCAAAACTCTTTCATCCATTCTCCATAGACACTTTCATGAGCGCTGACATTTAAAAAGGATCCATATACTCACGAATGTAAAGATAATACACAAGCAAATAATTTATACAAAGGACTCTAGTCACTTGTTAAAGACAGGAATGAATGAAGCCCTATTATTCACGGTTTGTAAATAAATTTAAAGATAAGCGCTAACTTTTCACTGGTTAAACCTGGAGCAGGAGGGTTCTGTGTTTCTTCTAAAGTTTCCCAGATGGTCATTAAAACAAGAAAGGGCAGAAACCCACTGTCTTTGAAATCCATCATTTCCCATCCAGAAAGATAATACATGTCCTCAAGTTAGGTCTTAAAGAGGTTAACATTCACAGGTGTTTTCAAATAACATAAAGGCACGCCTTTGTATGCTAGTTTTTACATTTTCAATATAAACCTATACTGAATAGCACCACTTCAGACACACAAGTTAGCTGTGAAACAAAACGCTATAAACCTTTAATTAGCACTTGCCGTTTTATACCCATAAAGTTAATACTTCCTCTTCTACTCCATTCTCCCTATAAAGAAAAATTACGGGGAATGAAATTGGGTTTTTCACTCCTGAAATTAAGAGTAGGAAGAAAAATTACAGGGAATAAAATTGGGTTTTTCACTCCTGAAATTCAGAGTAGGAAAATGTAGTTTTGTGGCTCTGTTTAAAAGTTATTATTTTTTTTATTTGCAAGCAAGTAAATGCAAACATCCCTTAAAATAAGTGCAGCTTGATTTCTACCAATAATGAGCGTTGTGTGTAACTTTCTTAAGTTGGGTACAGACAGCACTTACCACGACCAGAGTGCTGAATTGCTAAGAAACCAAGTTATTTCAGGCAAGTAGCTGCTTTCAGAAGATATGACAGCTAACTAACTTGCTTCCTCACACCCGAAGTTGAACATGCATCTCAATAAACAATGTGTTTTCTAGCTTTCTATACCCTCCCTGAAATAAATGTTCTGAGTTAAAATGGACTCAAATAGAGCCTTTCTCAAAAAATAAAAAGAGGCACACACAAAACACCCACAATTTCCTCTGGTCCCTTGAAGTACCCTTGGGATCCTAGTGAACAGAGATTTGCCACGCATTGCAGTGACTGGATTAGCACAAAAGGTTTCTATTTTGGTGTCATTCTAGTGCGCGCTGATCCTAAATCAGAAAAAGTAGTTACATTAGGCAAGGTAATGGCTTCCAAAAATAAGAGCTTGCCCAGTTACACAAGGCTGGCATACACAGGCTAAGTTGCAAGGAGATAAATAGCACCCCACTGGAACAAATAGATGGAGTCTCAGAAACACTACATACTTAATTAGGCTGCCCGAGTCCCTAATGGAGCATACATGGGGGACTTTTTAAAGCATTTAATAACCCGAGTAAATCCAAAATCAGAGGACAGGCACGAAACCTTCCCTCTGGCTTCAGGGCCTGTTCTCCCCTCTTTCCATGTTGAAGGAATCACTCCTGGAATTCTGAGAGCACGAACGCCCCATCACCACCAAAGGGTTAAAACACACTGAAGGCGGTCCCTCCCTTCTACACTTGTGGGGGGGCCCCTCTAGGCCAGGCACCGAGCCGGTGGATGACGGACACAGGGGTGAGGAAGAGAGACCCTAATGGTCTTCCACAAACTTCAGCACTGGAGTTGGGAGCACGAGCCTCTGCTAAGCCACGGGGTCCAGCACGCTGCTCCCCACTGCCCATACAATTCCTCCTCTTCCTGTTATTTATTCATTAGTTTTGTACGGCACCTTTCTTTCAGCCGGCTCCTTATTTCCTCCTCAGTTATCCGAGCAATCATAAACAAACTACGATTTGAAAAGAAAAAGGGAGGGAAGGAGGCGCAGGGGGTGGGAAGGAGAAAGAAAAGCCACATTCAGAAGGCACAAGCCCCCCGGCCCCCCGCTCTTTCTCCGAATCCCGCCCTCGGGGGGATGTTTCTTCCCCGGCGCGGCCCTGGGGGCTTCGGGAAGGAAAGGGCACGCGAGTCAGCGCCGCCCCGGCCCCGGGGCTGCGGCTCCCGCGCCGGCCGCCCTTCGGAGAGTCACCTTCCGCCACCTGAAACGTTCGGTCCTCGAAGTCGCGCAGAGAGTGGTGGAAGAGGTGGGGTGACCCAGGGCGTGGCGTGGAGGTCTCCGACCCTTATCTTCCCCAAAGGAAAACTTACCCCTTTCCCCCAAAAAATGAAAGAAGCCACTTGTACTAACCAGGGAGGGGTGGCGGGTACCTCCGTTCCGCGGTCCAAAGCGCCCTGCGAGAGGGCGGCAAAGGCCACCTGCGGGGGTCCCGCCCCCCCCCATCCAGGGCACACTCAAAAGTTCGTTCCTTTCCTTCCCTAAGCGGCCGGGGGTCCAGCTCTCGCATCCGTGGGGTGAGGTGAGATGGGCTTGGGAGTGGGGCGGCGAGGTCCCCGGACCGCGAGAGCAGGGACCCCTGCGCACCCCCAGGGGGCTGCGACCGTGTTTACTAATAACAACAACAAAGAATCACACGCAAGCCCCCTCGGGCAGTCTCGGGCTGCTCTTCACTTCTTCGGGGCAGTAAAGCCGAGTCGGCGGGGTGGGGGTGGGGGGACAGAGCGGAGCGCCCGCAGGGGGACAAAGGGGGGGAAGGGGCAGAAAGAGTGGAGGAAGAGAAGAGAGTTGGTCAGAAACGAGGGCGCCAAGGGAGAAAGGGGGGGAGAGTGGGGGAAAGGGGAAAGAAAAGTGCAGCAGGCGGTGGGTGAGCTGGGGTGCGGGGTGCGCCCGGGATGGGGAGGGGTCCCCGCCCCGCCGCCCCCGGCCCGGTCACCTTGCTGTAGCCGTAGTACCCCAGGCACTGCGCGAAGTCCAGGCCGGCGGGGTCCCCGGCCGCCGCGGGGTAGAACCTCACATCCATGCCGGAGCCGGGCCCGGGGCCGGAGGCTG